AGTGTGTGACCCTGTATCACTCAGCTGGCTTCACTTTACCCCCAGTACATCCATGAAATGGAAGGGAGTGAGCCACTCAGACCTTGTACAGTTGAGAGAAGCTTTAGCTTCCCATTAGTAAAAGGTTTTCACTAAGCTACTTGAAGATATGTGGTATTGTGAGCCGAGGTAGAGGAGAGTTGATGACCCCAAACGATCGTCACGTCGTTAGTTGGGCACCTAGACAGCTGGGTTCACTCCAACTCTCACCATACTCAACAGGTGGCTCAAACCCAGGTCAGTGGACGGTCATACAGCTCGCTTCACCACTCGTGTCTCATACCGCCAGTGGACGATATCATACCGCGTGGAGTCTACAAAACCCTGAAAAACCCGGGCTGTTTGCTATTGTCTCACATCACCGTTTGTTCCTACCCCCTATCAAGCTTTGTCTGAGATTGAATAAAACTTACTTGTTAATACTGATGTTAAATAAACGAAGGAACCAGGTCGCGCGATCAGTCTCTCCTGGGTACAGCACAGAGGTGGTCCTTGACCTCTCTCACAGCTGCCCATGCCACGCTCCCTCACTGGTTCACGCTTTCCAGGAGTGACTTATTTACCAGACGGTTAACAGCTTAATTAGGACGTACGCAGCATTTTCAGACTGGGAAACGATCTATAATTATTTTCAATTTAATAACTGATATTTAATTTCATGATTCGCGTCCCTATTAACTCGGAAAATTACATTTAATATCGTATAGGCCTAGTTCCACAACCTCTCGCTACGTGCAGGGAGCGCTGTCTTCCCTCAGACGACCTTGAACTCAGCATCGCCAATGGCGCTGCATTTGAAATTACACTGAAATTTCTAAATATTACATATATATATATATATATATATATATATATATATATATATATATATATATATATATATATATATATATATATATATATATATATATATATATATGAGTGTGTGTGTGTGTGTAAATAAATCACTGTAGGTGCTCGTGATCCATGTGTATGTTGATAACCAAATGAAAAAAAGAAGAAAACGTGAAGTTCTCAAACAATTTCGTGTTATTCACATCTTCAGGGGTGAATACAGACTAATAAGTAGTTACTGACAAGGCTAATATATATTGTATACTGTACAGTAAAGGAGGGTGAGATCAAATCCCTAGTGTCAGCATGTCTTTCCCATTAAGTAGTGACCCAACACTTTCACCTGGCTACAAATCCTTTTAATCACAACATTTTCCAATTTGTATATGCCATTACTTAAATTTATGTTTACAGAATTACAAAGTACTGTAAGATAGAGGAGGCCTTAGCCCGGCCAATGCAATGATTATTATCTCTCATATGAGTGAACAAAGCATTAGATTCATGGCCCCATCGTACCCACCACCACCTCCATCCACTTCTTCAGTTCCGCCATTGATAACAGAGCAACAGATTCTTGAAAATCATTCATCCCGGCATCCAGTTAATTTCAAAAGCTTTGAGTATACAGTAGTTATGTTCCCATTAATACACAAAAGAAGACACGACTCATTAGAAGGGTAGAAAGAAAACTGTTACTCTCTCTCTCGAGGTAAGGAGAGAAAAAACTGCTGACGTGTAAGTCATCAGAACTCACACCACTCTTAGCATAAAGTAGATACGAGGAGTTATGTTACTCCTTAGAAATCCCACAGGATACGAGAGAGATAAGCGTGAGGCGTAATATACAGCCTTTACCGAACGTAAGATTTGGTAGGCTTTCTTCACTACTTGATAAATCAGCATCTTTCAACATTGTAATGCGAATCTTTTCAGTATAGGTTAAATTATCACAGGCTACATTAATCGACCTTGTTGTAATAACAGAGATTAAAAAAATGGTATTTGTTTATGTATTTTTTTATGTAGTGAGACATTTCCAGTATACCAATGTCTTGTGGGACTTTGGTCTCTATAAACCTGTTTTTGTTCAATTGAAATCCATTTAAGATCGTATTGATTTTTGTTATACTATGGATTATAAAACGATGTTATAATGCACGTTGAAGGCTAAGATACAATAATTACAACTGGAGAATGATATAATTTCATTACCGAAATATGATAGAAAAATATCATGATAGAGGCTAATCATACTGACAATTTCGTCAAGTTGTTTCTCGTGATGGCGGGGAATTGAATGATTCGCGAGAAACATTACTTAACTTAACCTAATAATAAGCTAACTTGGAGGGAGTGACAACTTAGCACATTTTCTTGGCCATCGCGGGAGACACTATTACGTGATTTGTTCATAAGATTGACTAAGGTGAAATATTATTCCTGTTTGTTAAAGGCTTAATAGTATACATTCTTAGATCTTAACTTGTTCCATTTAATGTTTGGTCGAGCTTCCTTCATCAATAAACATATATTACTGGTTATTCTATGTCTCAAAAGACACGGTATATATTTACAACCATTAAACTGCTCATTAGAACATTACCTCGACTGAGTTACCACTCACTAATTTATTTTCTTTCAAACCTATTAGGAATATCTCTCGGGTCCTTGGCTCTCCTGATGAGCAAGAAACTCCGTCAGAGTCCTTCCACAGCGTTCATGGTCAACCTTCTTGTCTGCCTGTTACCCGTGTGTGCCTTCGGGATGCCTATGTATGGAGTCGGGTGTCTGCAAGCTCAACAGTACGGCGATGTTACATTCTCAAAGGGAGTGTGCTTGACATTTTTTACACTAGGCCTCATACTAAGTCAAGTGCGCATACACAGCATCTGCGCACTCGCCTTCAACAGGTAAGAAATTTGTCTAATAGCTATGATAATCCTATCTGTAAGATAGGTTTTATTAATTTGGAATGTGATTTGATGTATAAATATCAAGAAATATATTACTGAAGACATATTATTAATTTAAAATGTGAATTATTGGATAAAAATTAAGATTTTTTTTTCATGTCATATTATTAAGTTGAAATGTGAAGTATAGTGAAATTGGTCAAATCCTGGTGCAGAATGCTGGCTGTCGTGTACCCAATGTTGTACAAGCGAGTGATGCAACAAAGGAAGGTGATGCACTACTTGATCATACTATGGGTCTACTCCACCCTACTCTGGCTCCCTCTTACCTTCGGGGTAAGTAACAACAAAACATTGCCTGGAGAATATGAACTAATAAAATATTGTTTTCTAGATGGTGTCATATTTTTTTTTAGTTATTGTTACGACCCTTGGGCCTCTTAAGGGTGTAACAATATCACAAATTCACAAATTACACTTTGTACTATAGGTCCAGGAATAGATCCCACCAAATTATCACCTCATTACTATGGGGTATATTGAAATACATGCAGTAGTTGTAATAATAGAATATATTAACAAATAATCAATAAAATAAATATATCGGTATGTACAAAAATAAACAAATACAAGTCAAATCTGATCAAATAAATGACTCAACCGAGTGACAAAATAATGAACACAAAAGTAAAGACTTATTTAGTCTAGAAACTACGATGAACAACGTGGTCTATCCACCACACGAAACCTCATAAATAAGTAAGTTATTTTCCGTGGAACTCCAAAATATGATTAACAATAATCTTTCACAAATAATACTTTACTTGGTGTTATAAAAGTCGAGCAAGGTTTACACGTTATACCACTAGAAACATACTGTACAATAAGAAAGGAGATACTCTGTACTTAACACTGCCGGGCCCATACTAATGTTGTTGTTGAGATTGTCGGACCGTAGTCCGACACGGGCCTTTGCCTATAGGCGGCCCGTTTGGTGGTTCCGGCTGGAGCTCCAGGAGCAGCCAGACCGGATTGGGATTGGAGGTGGTCCCACCTGCAGATTGGAGGGATACTGCAGGTTGCAAGTGTGAGCGGACCCCCGATCAGTGGACGCTTACCACCAACCCCCACTCTTGGACGTGGTCAGTTTCGGAGTGGCGCGCCCCCCGAGCTGGGGTCCGCACTTGCTGGGAGAGGATGCTTTCTAAGCTATCTGGGTGGTGGGTATCGTGTGATGACCCGGAGTAGGTGGTGGATGTGGTCTGTATGGGCCTTTCGGGTTAGAGTGGCCGCTGGTGTTGTGTGTGTTTCTTGGGAGATTTGAGTTCTGTTTCGGAGGCTTTGTGTGACCTCGCAATCGAGGAGATAGTGTTCAAGTGGGTTGGCTGCTGGCTCCTGACAGTAGGTGCATTCCATGACGTCATTTCCGATCATCTGCCAGGAGCACTTGTACCCTAGTCGTAGTCGATGAAGGCTGACTTGGGTTTGTCTTGGAGTTTTCTTGTCAGCGAAAGGTGGTTCCCCTTTTGTGGCCGCCAGGTACCATTTGGCTGATTGGGAACCAGCGTTGAGTGCATGAAGGAAGCTCTTTTTGATGTGGAGCTTGCTAGTCTTTCTGAGGTGATTCTTAATCTGTTGCACACTTGCTGGAACATGGATGTGTATGCTACTAGAACGTGTAGCTGCCTTGGCTGCTTCGTCTGCCACGTCGTTTCCTCCAATCCCTACATGACTGGGAATCCAGTGTAAGACGACTGGTCGGTTTTGGCTTTGGAATTCCTGTAGCTGTGCGAGGATCGAGGTGATGATGTGGACGTTGTCTCTTGGTTGACTGTGTTGCAGCGCCTGCATGGCCGATTTCGAGTCCGTGTGAATTATGATGGACTTGTTGTGTTGTGTTGCAGCGTGTTGTAGGGCCTTTGAGATTGCTACCAGTTCTGTTTGTAGGGTGGAGCAGTCATTGGAAAGTCTCCATTGGAGGGTCTGACCTTGGGTGTAGAAGGCCGCTCCGGATCTATGATGTTTTGGGTCCACCGAGCCGTCTGTGAAGTATGATGCTGCATCAGCCGGTGTCTCGGTGGCTATGGCTTCGAGAGTTATTTTTTTGAGGTCCTCCTTCTGGAGGTTGGCTTTACTATCGCCTAGGTCGGTAAATTTGAGTGTGGCTGGTGGAGGGCTCCATGGTGGAGGAACAGCGTAACCATTGTCTAGTGTGTCTTGGTTGTTCTTGACGAGTGTTTCTGCTTGCAGGTGTCGGATGACCTCGCTTGCCTCGTGCGACCAGGTGGCCCCTCGCACTCTGTGGTCGAGGTGGAGGGAGGCACTGATTCGAATCTTGGCGACTGTGGGCTTGTCTGCTCTACAGATTTTGGCGAGGAGACCGGCTGTCACCTGCTTGACTCGTATTGCCAGGGGTGGTAGTTCGGTTTCCATTTGCAGATTGCAAATTCTGGTCCACATGGGTGCTCCGAGCATGGTCCTGAGAGCATTGTTTTGGATGACTTCTAGCTTAGCTATTTGGTCTTCTCTCAGTCCAATGAGTGCTGGAGCACTGTAATCTACCAGCGATCTGATGGCGGCCGTGTAGTAGGCTTTGAGCACATGAAGGTTTGCTCCTGCGGATTTGCTGGTGAGCGTCCTCATTATATTGTGTCTGCTCTTCGTCCTGTGCCTGAGATACTCGAGTTGCGGCTTGAAGGTGAGTTTCTGGTCAAACCATATTCCAAGACACTGGTGGGCGTTAGTCCAGACTACCGGCGTGTTTTGTATGGAGAGCATCTTGTCTGGTGTGTCTGTGCAGATGGCCATCGCTTTCGACTTGGCTGGATTTATCTTGAGTCCAAGTCTGTTGCACTCCTCTTCTATAAGTTGGAGTGCGTGTTGCGTGTTGGCTAGTCTGTTCGATCCTCTTACTATAAGCTGTAAGTCGTCTGCATAGCATAGGAGCTTGGCTGTTTGTCTGAAGGGAAGTTTGACTAGATTTTCCATCAGGACATTGAACAGCATTGGACTGAGGATGCCTCCTTGTGGGGTTCCGTTTTCATGGACCCTGTAGCTTGAGGTTGCTCCCTGAAAGCGTACTCGTGCTTCTCTCTGTGTGAGGTAGTTCTGGATCCACCCCAGCAACCTTCCTTTGACGCCTTTTTTAGCGAGCGTAGTTGTAATGGCCAATGGATTTGCTAGTTCGAAGGCTTTCTCCAGGTCGAGGAAGACCACCAGAGCTGGTTTGTTGTCCACTGTGCTGAGTATCTCGGCGATGTTGTTGCCTGTGCCGGTGTTCTCGGTGTAAGCAAAGATGTGAGGGTGTGGGCTGCCTACTTTCCACTTGAGTCGGTTGAGAGCCATTCTTTCTCCCGTCTTCGCTATGCAGCTGAGAAGGGAGATGGGCCTCGGTTTGTCTGGTTCTCTGGGCTTCGGAATGGGCTGTATATCTGCCTTCTTCCATTCCGGTGGGAGTCTTTGTGCTGTCCACGAAGCATTGATGGCTTGCAGCAGAGCCTCGTGTCCGGCTGTACCGGCATGGGAAAGCATGGAGTAGGTTATCCTGTCGGCCCCTGGAGCTGTGTCCTTGCTTCGTTTTAGCGACTTCTGGAGTTCTTGCTGGTTGAATGGTCTGTCAGTGTCATCTTCACTGTTGCAGGCCTCTTCGATCATCTGGAGTCTGACCTGTCGCAGACGCCGTTGTGTCTCCTCCGCCTGTCTCGGGAGGTTTTTCGTTGCTGCTCGGTCAGAGAACAATTTTGCAAGTCTCTCGGCTTCCTCTTCTGGGTTGGGATGGGTTGGTGGTGGTGGTGTTGTCTTCCCAGATGCCCTTCGGATCTGGGCCCACATCTTGCCAAGGGAGGTGTGCTCGTTCAGTTCGGAGCACCACTTGAGCCAGCTTACGTTTTTTATTTCTTCCTTCTCTTCCCTGGTATCCTTAACTATGACTTGCAGGAGATGTCTGTTTGTTGCCGTGGGATGTCTCCTGTAGTTTCTTCGGGCCATGTTCACTCTGTGGTTGAGTTCTTTCACCCTGGGACAGTAGTACCAGTAATCATTGTACTGTCTTGATGTGGGTTTTGTTTTTGGGATAGCCTCTTCTGCCGCTTGGTGAAACGCCTCGACCAATTGGTGGTGGAGGGTTGTCTCATCCACGGGTGCTGCGCCGGCCGGCTGTGATTTTTCGCGCCACTTAGCCAGGTGTTTCTTAAAGAGTCCCCAGTCTGCCTTTTGGGTATTGTATCTCCATCTCGGGGGGGGGTGGAGTGGGGAGTTTGTTCACCTTCAGCGTTGTTAGGGTGGCGAAGTGGTCGCTGGTCAGCGTGGGGTGTATCTGCCAGGAGGCCGAAGGCTGTAGTGCACTGGAGACGAAGGTTAGATCTAGCCTTCCTCCCCTAGTGTGGGTGGGCTCTCCGGTGTTCAGGAGGCAGATCTCGGGTGTATCTTGAAAGGTGGTGTATAGGTGTAGGCCGTCTTCATTTGTGGGGCTTGCCGAGCTTAGGAAGGGATGATGTGCGTTGAAATCCCCTCCTATGAGTGTGGCGTGGTCAGCGGCCGAAGCAAATAATTGAGTAACCTCCAGTGAGCCCCTTGGGTTCTTGTAGATGTTGTGAACAGTTAATTCCCGTTCTTGGAGGGTTACTTTGACGGCCTGTGTCTCGATGTTTTCCCCACATGGAAATTGCTGCGTGACATCGGCGGAGGGTATGCTTGACTTGACCAAGATCATACATCCTCTTGTTGACGCCTGCGTGAAATGCCTCCTGTATGTCTTGTAACCGCTGAATTTGAAACAGTGGTGTTCTTGTAGAAGTGTTTCTTGTAGCAGTATGATGTCAAGCTTGTCCTTGGCTGCTGCTTCTTGTAGGAGGTGTTTCTTGTTTTTGATGCCCTGAGCATTCCATGTTAGGATGTTCAGGGTGCTGATGTTTTCCACCACTGTTTCATCGGGGACTTCTGGTGGTCCTCGATGGAGATGTCCAAGTTCGATTCCAACTGGATCAGGTTCATATCTTCGTGTTCTGTGGTTTTTGCCTTCTGGGCCGTGGTTCGGTTCAGGGGAGTTGAAACGTCCAGTTTCTTTCTGGGAGCTGTCGGTATCTTGGGTTCTCTGGTGGCCTTCTTCGGTGTAGAGTGTACCTCGGCTGTCACTCGTGTGAGGACCGGCGTGGCTTCCTCCACTGAGGTGGCTGGAGCTGTGGCGACTTGCCCGAGGACGCTCCCCATGAGTATTTGGAGCTGTGTGGGTTGGATCTTGTGGCCCAGTAGTCCGGCTAGGCCCTCCGCGAAGGTTGTCAGTACCTTGGCTAGGTCTGATACGTGTATCATTCCTTCTGGTGCCTTGGTGTGTGCTTCTTTTGTCTTTCTCGTGGTTGTCGTTGTCTGCTGCTTGGGTGGCTGAGGTGTGGCCGTAGTGAGGCCAGGAAACTGGGCTGCACTTTGGGTGTTGACTGGCTGAGGAGGTTGTCTTTGTTGTTTTGGCCTTTGGGTTCCCCACACGAAGGTACTTGGTGGGGCTGGTGTGTAGGCGGTGGGGGCCGGTCTTGCTGCTGGTCGGTTTGCCTGGACCCTCTTTGTTCTCTCGGAGCATCCAGGATTCCAGGTGTGGTGTTTGCCCCCGCAGTTGGCACACTTGGGGGCAATTTTTTCCCCATTTTTCAACTTGGTGAGGCAGGAGTGTGTGCCGTGCTTCTGTGCGCAGACTGCGCAGATTTCCTTGTACGTGCACCTTGTCTGATGGTGCCCGTATTTCTGGCATCTGAAGCACCGCAGGGGCTCTGGGACGAAGGGCCTCACTTCGTAGATCCCCCAGGTTTTGAGGTCTATGGTGCTGGGGGTGAGCCGTAGTGCGTTATGAGCACTTGTTTCGTGGTGGCCGTCTTGTCGGACAGGGGAGAGCATCTCTCGGCTTTTAAGATCTTCGGGTGGTTCTCCAGGGGTTCGAGAGGTAGTTCCTTTGGGTACCGAAGGACTACCGACTTCATCAGTTTCTGGGCGGGGTCCAGCTTTGTTGACGCAACGGTGGTGGTGTTTTGCAGGTAAGTGTCGAGGGTGGTGGCAGAGTCCTTGTCTTTGGGGTGAATAATCATCTCCCCCTTTAGGTTGGGCCGCACTGAGAACTTGGCCAGTGGGTTTTGCTTTTCCATCTCTGTGACGGCGGCATATGTTGTTTTTGCGTCCGTTTTCGTGATTCGGAATTTTGGCAGTGTCGTTGGAGGTGAGCTGGTGGTGGTGATGGGTGCCTTTTGTGCTGCTTGACGGCATTCGTTTCCCGAAAAGGCACGTCGGCGTTTCTTGTTTTCTACCTTCGTCCAGTTGTCCTCAGTGGCGGTAGCAGTGGTGGTGGAGTTGTTGGAGGTGGTGGCAGTGTTCTTACTTTTCAGGGCTTCATTGAAGGCGCGTAACTGGTCCGCTTTCTCTGTGCGAAGCCTGTCGTAGTTCGGGTCGTCAGGTTGGCGGTTCAGGCGGGGGTCGCGGTTAGGAGGGTGTACGCGCTCCATAACCGGGTTTTTTTTTTTTTTTTAGATCCTACCTATTCCGGTTGAGTAAATAGCAGAGGAATTACAGCACTCCCCACTGGCTGGTGGTCGTAGAGTGGTTCCTGAGCTACCCTCTTTCCAGGTGGACCCGCACGATCACGGTTTTCCTGGAAAGACTCGGCTGGGATGGTTTTGCTCCAACCCCCTTTCGTGTTCACAATCTCCTGGGAGGGAGGTGAACAGTTACAGGGGGGACCGCAGGACGAATACACTTTTGAGGGTGCAGGTCCCTAGGCCAGAGCGAAAAAGGAAAAATAGTAGTAGAAGGAAAAGAGCTCAAACCACGCCGGGAATATCGCGCTATAGCTGCTCTCCAGCTGGAGTGTGGGTCACTCACACCACCAGTGGGGAGGGCAAGCTAATGCTCGATAAACCGAGAACGCTCGTGAGTTGTTGTGGACGATGATAGTCGTGGGTGGTCCGGTCCGGGAAGATGGCCAACAATGGCACAAGGGACAGGGCGGTCTTCACAGTTCCGGGTCACAAACAAAAGACGTTCACGTTGCGAATCCACAACCAACGATGGAACGCTCACTCTTAACATCTCCCCCCTTAATTTAAAAGTTTAAGAAGCTCTGAATAAACTTTTATTCAACACGAGATAGAGTGTCGGCAATAATATTATCACAGCCCTTTATGTGTTTGATTTCTATATTATAGGGTTGAAGAGCTAATGACCACCGTAACAGTCTTTGATTCTTATTTCTCATATTATGAACAAACTGAAGTGGATTATGTTCTGTATAAACTATCACTGGGTAAGGTGATCCACTTACATACACCTCAAACTTTTCCAGAGCTAACAAAAGGGCCAATGCTTCTTTTTCTATTGTGGCATATCCACGTTGATGCTTTTTCAGTTTGGCCGAGAAATAACAGTTCGGGTGCAATATTACATCCTTTCCTTTTTGCATTAACACAGCACCAACTCCTGTGTCACACGCATCATAAATTGTTTCTTAAAATCTGGGAGTTGTAGTACAAGTGCCGTTGCCAACAACCCACGAACCTTTTCGAATGCTGTCTGGCATTCATCAGTCCACACAAACTTTCTTTTTGGACTGACCAAATCTGTCATGGGAGTGACCACCATGGCAAAATTTTGACAAAACCTCCAACCATCCCGAGAAATCTTCTAAGTGCCTTTCGATTGTGAGGTGCGGGTAGACTGAGAATATCGACAACCTTGGCATCAATTGGAGCAATTTTCCTTTGTCCAATGACATGACCAAGGAAGATTAAGGTGGCATGTCCGAATTCACTCTTGGGTAGGTTTACCACCGTTGAACTCTGCTAGACGATTGAAGAGTTCACGGAGTCGGCCAATGTGTTGTACCCATGTGTCACCGATGACGACCAGATCATCGAGATAGGCGTACACTCCAGGCAGGCCTGACGTCACTATATGCATCGCTCGCTGAAATGTTGCTGGTGCTCCTTTGAGGCCGAAGGGCATAACTTTGTATTGCCACAGCCCCTCCGCACTGACAAAAGCTGAAATCTGCTTTGCTTCTTCCGAGAGTTTGATTTGGTAGTAGCCTTTGAGAAGATCCACCTTGGTGACAAATGATGCTTGACCCACACTATCGATGATATCGTCGATGCGCGGCAATGGATATGCATCAGCACGTGTCTCCAGGTTGCCCTTCCTGTAGTCTCTACACATGCGGACACTTCCGTCGGGTTTAGGCACCAGCACACAGGGTGACGCCATGCACTACTGCTCCTCTCCACTAGGTCATATTCCAGTAGATACTCCACCTCCTGCTTCAGCTTCTCCCGCTTATCAGGGCTCAATCGGTAGGGTGCTTGCTTGATGGGAGATGTGCCAGGCAGCAGTACCAGGTCGTGCTCCAGCAGAGAACACTGGCGTGGCACATCGTCGAAGAGTGGTTTGAACTCCTGCAGCAGTTGCACCACATCCTGAGATTGCTGTTGTGAAAGATGGGATACTTTAGAGGTAGGGCCACACAATATACTGGAATTACAGATTTTTATGGGGACATCCACTTGGAAATCAGTGTCTGGGATCACCTCCTCTCCTGTTACCGAGCAAACCACTTCACTCCTACCAAAATACGGTTTCAACCTGTTGATATGAATCAACCTCTCCAATTTTCTCTTGTCTGGAGTCGCTATGACATAGTTGAGGTCATTTAATTTCTTAACGATAGTGAATGGACCCTCATATTTAGCTTGAAGGGGATTTCTATACAGGGGTATAAGTGCTAAAACCCTTTCTCCAGGCTTAAATTCTCTAGCTTGACAATGCTCATCATATTGCTTTTTCATTTTCTCCTGTACTTCTGACACATTTTCACGAGCAATCTCACCTACTCTCTTCAGTTTCTCTTTAAACTTCTCTACATACACTGACAAAGGGACTTTTATTTGATTACTTATCCAACTTTCCTTCAACACAGTCATAGGACCTCTTACAGCATGACCAAAAATAATTTCAAAGGGACTGAATCCTAGGGAGTCTTGGGGACTCTCTCTTATGGCAAACAACATAAGTGGTACTCCTTCATCCCAATCCTTATCAGACTCCATACAGTATTTCATAAGCATTGATTTAAAAGTCTGGTGGAACCTCTCTAGGGCACCTTGGGTTTGAGGGTGGTACGCAGAAGCTAAGTATTGTTTAATACCCAATTCATTCATCACCTGCTGGAAAAGGAAAGAAGTGAAGTTAGTACCCTGATCCGACTGTACAATTCTAGGAATGCCATATTTAGTGAAGAAGTTAGTCAGAGCCTTTACCACACTCTTTGCTTTGATGTTTCGCAATGGTATAGCCTCTGGGTACCTGGTGGTAGTACACATGATTGTTAACAAATATTGGTGGCCACATCGAGTTTTTGGGAGAGGACCTACACAATCAATTATAATCCTGCTAAATAGCTCATCTACCACAGGAATGGGTTTTAGGGGGAGCAGGTTTTATGACCTTATTCGATTTACCAGCCATCTGACATTCATGGCAAGTTCTATAGTATCTGGCAACATCACCTTTCATTCCAGGCCAGTAAAAATGCGACAAAATATTTTTGTATGTTTTCCTAACTCCTAAATGTCCTCCCAAAAAGTCGTGTGCTAATTTCAAGATTTCTCCCCTGTGACAACTGGGAATCACAACCTGATGCACAACATTCCACTCATCAGCAGGATCAGATACAGATCTGAACTTCCTCATAAGTAACCCTGAATCCATGTTGTAACAAACAGGCAAGCGAACGGCTTCTTCAATATCCACAGCCTTCCTACATAGTTCAGCTAATTCGGAGTCACTCTGCTGATCATCTATCAGTTTTTCCCTAGTGACAAGTACTTTCTGAATGGTAATGTTGTCACCAGAAGAGAGATCAGCTTCAGATTTTGGGGAATGAATGTTAACTGAATCTTTAGCTTCACTCACATCTCTCCCACCAATGTCACTATCAAATGAATCATCCTGACTGTCAAACAGATTCTCAATACCTAAATCATTTTCATCATTGCCAGGTGCACTGCTATCAGCAATACAGAGCTTAGGGTCAACTGAAGGAACGGACTGTACTTTATTCCGAAGAGTCTGGCTCCTTGTGACTGCACATAAAGGAAATAAATCATGGTATTCTTCTTCAATTAAACCAGTATTATTCTCCACTGTAGGAGTCGAAGATACCACAGGATCTGGCACCACGCTGGCTCCTGCAATATCATTACCCAGCAAAAAAAGTAACCCCTGTCACAGGAAGAGAATCTTGAACACCAATAGTCACCCAACCAGTTACAAGTGGAGTTCTTAAAAACACCCTACTCAAAGGAACAGTGATCACTCCACCGACACCCTTAAGCACCAAATGCTCTCCAGTATAGGAATCTTCCACGCAGGGAACAGATCCTTTCAACAGAATACTGTGAGAAGCACCAGTGTCACGCAAAATCTTCGCAGGGTACTGATCACCTGATTCCTCAACTGCAACTGAACCATCAAACATGAAAGGTTCAAAAGAATCCTCCTTTGGGCGATTTCTCACTAAAGTTTTGTCAAACTTCTCCTGAGGTTCGAATGAGAGCACTGGCTCTTCCTTCTTTGCTTCCAATTTAGGACAATTCGCAATCACATGACCTGGTTTCTTACAGTAAAAACACACAAATGCTTTAGTCTTGGCATAGGTCTTGGAAAGCTCACCTGAGTTTCCACGAAAATTTACTTTACTAGAAGCAGTACTACTATCCTGCCTACCACCCTTTTCCTTGGCTACAAAACCCTTTCCGCCTGAATGATTTTGAGATTTAACAGGATGCATTTTGTGAGTAACGGCATAGCTATCAGCTAATGCAGCAGCTTTATGAACATTACTAATATCTCTCTCTCCTAAGTACAATTGTATATCTCTTGGAGTGGCTCTTTTGAACTGCTCTAAAATCATCAACTCAACAAGTTCCTCAAAAATTTCTACCTTGCTAGACTTTATCCACCTTCCACACATTTTACTCAATGAATAAACAAATTCTATATACGACTGTGCATCAGTCTTTCTCATTGTATGTATATTCTGTATGCTGTATTTATATATTATGTATGTATATGATGTATGTGCTCCATTTATATATATTATTTATTCAGCCTAGCTAGCAGCGTGTGGCAATGTTATTACCATGTCCCACATGCTTAATTAATGTGCCTGGCGACGTATGGAAGCTGCTAATGTATCACTTGCCATACGTCGTCTATAGAGCAGTTGACAAGCAGACAGGTTGAGGAGCGGTACTCCCCTTGTGTACATATCTCTTATCCAGTAAATAGAACCTACAAAATCTATACAGGTGTTTGTGTTCGCTCCTGTATATTGAACTTATTACCTAGAACATTGAACATGGCGCAGTGCGTACTTTTACTGGATAATTACGAGTGACAGTGCAAAGTTTGTGGAAAGCCGGCTTATGGACCCCCTTGCCCTGTGTCAACCGCCGCCCGCCACCCGTCCTCGAAGAATTTAGCAACTTTGAGCAGTGTCAGTGACAGTGATTTTCTGTGAAGTGTTTAGTGCATTGTGTGTTTCGTGCCATTCATGTGTGACCTTGTTCTAAAGGATTCCCAAGGTACACGGCATGTTCTGGGCATTTGTAAGGAGTAGACTTCAGTACACCTCCCCTCGCGAAGCCTGGAGGGTAACTGCCGATAGTAGTCTTCTCCACCCCCCCTCACAGCGTCGTCTCCACACCCCTTCACAGCTCGAGGAGACCGCTCTCACTGCCTGGGACACACACACACGTACACACACACTGACCGCGGTGATTTCCTTATATATATTTTATATATATAATCTACTTATCTGTGTATTTAATTAATTTTTTGTCAGAAATCTTGTTGATACGACGGGCTGACCGGTCAACACTGATTTAGACACAGTACACAGATGAAGTAGTTATGTCTCATGCCTTACGTAGCCGTGGACCCAGCGTCTGGATGAGTCAGTCGGATGATAGCCCCGCAGAGATGGATGACCAGGCTGACCACGAAGCTCCAGCTCCCACAACATTGCGCAGCCCTTCACCTCGATATTCAGCGTTGTCTCCAGAGATAATTCCTTTAATGAAGTTTATGAGAGATGAAAGGCGCGAGGATGAAGCTCACAGACGTGTGGCGGATGAACACAGAAGGCAAGCAGAGGCAGAGAGAGACCACCAACGGAGATTGGAAGACAGTGCACGGTTTGAAGCTTTGATATCTCGCCTCACTGTTAACCAAGCCCCTGGCTCTAACACTGCCTCGGTACTGACTGGTTCAGATACCTCATCAATGCTTCCCTCACGCCCCCCAGCCCCACCTAAAGCAGCTGCTCAAACACCGCCCATCTTGAAGCCTGATGTGACTTTCCAGACTTTTCGTGAATGGCGGCGACGGTGGACTGATTATTCTACAATGGTGGATCTCCAGAGTTTGTCACAGCCTAAACAACTCATCCAGCTGCGTATGTGCCTGTCCTTGGAAATTCAGCGTGTCTTAGAACATACGTTGCAGGTACCTCCGACCTCTTCGCTGTCTGTAGAGGAGGTACTCGACATTCTACAACGGCACATCAAAGGACAGCAGAATGAAGCTCTGCGCAGGAGGGAATTGTTTAGCTGCAGACAGATGGAGGGTGAGACTTTTGACGCCTTTTATGTACGTCTTAAGAGAGCCTCGGAAGAGGTAGATATATGTCTAGGCCACCACCAGCAGTGCGAGGAGACCCAGTTGAAGCAGGTGA